CTAAACAGTTTAAGCTAAACAACTGTCTCACTTATCCAGAGGGCCTGATCCAGTTCCATGGGGGCTCCTTAGCTATTGGTTCACAGTTCATGTGTTTCCACTAGTTTGGCTAGTTGTCTCTGTACTTTTCCAATCATGGTCTTGATATCTCTTGCTCATATAATCCCTCCTCTCTCTCATGGATTGGACTCCTGGAGCTCTACCTGGGGCTTGGCCATGGATCTCTGCATCTGCTTCCACCAGTCACTGGATGAGGGTTCTATCATGGTGGTCTGAAAGCTTTATCTTAATGTTTTGTGTGTGTGTGTGTGCATATGTGTGTGTGTGGGTGCATGAGTAAATGAAGGTTAGAGGTCAATGTCAGTGTCTTTCTATATAGATAGCTCTTGATATTATTTTTCTTATTCTTTAAAAAATTCTTTTGGTAGACTTATTTATTTTATTTTATGCAGATGAGTGTTTTGTCTGCATGTATGTATGTGTACCACATGAGTGTCTGGTGCCTTTAGAGTTCAGAAGAGGGAGTCAGTTCTCCTGGAACTTGAGTTATAGATGACTATAGACCATGTGGATGCTGGGGCCAGAACCCAGATTTTCTGCAAGAACAGCAAGTCCTATTTGATCTCTGTCTTTTCAGCACTCTTCTAAGCTAAGGAGGTCTAGGGCACGCTGGAGAGCATACTTTACCTGTACTGAAGCTGAGCCTCTATGGAAGAATTCCTTGATGTGCATGTCATAAGCCCAGTAGACTTTGCTAAAAAATTGAATTTAGGGGTTGGAGAGATAGCTCAACTGTAGAAGCCCACAAAGGTTTCCTAGTGATATCTGAGCTTGCTTTACAAAGCAGGGCTGCATTAGGGGATGGCTTGACCACCTGCATGGTCACCAGGTGATTGGAATGGTCTGCCCTTGGCTGTGCTTGGGAGGAGGTCTTTTGCTCCACCCCTTGACATTCCTTTAAGAGCTCTTTAGTAGAGACAGAAGGGGCTGGTGGGTTTGGACCCAGGCCCTTCTGAGGCTATCCTGTGTTTTCTGTCTCCCTCTCCTCTATATTTCTATCTACATATTCCTGGTTTCTCCCTGCTCGAGAGAACCCTGGGTGAATAAGACAAGACGGAGCTGTCTTTCTCACGGCACCACCAGAGGAACTTGTATTGAATATGCAAATTTGAAAAGACACAAACCCCAAGTGGTTCGGTGACTGCTAAGAAACCTTGGCATATTATTAGGATAATAAACTTCAAGTTCGGCTGATGGCCCGACCTCCGCACTTTAGACAGTGACTAGCACGATAAACATTAACTTTAAAAAAAATCAGTTCTTCCTGAGCAAGTTTTAAGTCTATCTAGAGTCCAAATTCTACATTTACAGGATGGCTGGGCCTCGAAGCCCCTGTCACTCCGTGCGAGGGGCGGGGCAGGCCAAAGCCACCGAAGGAGAGGGGGTGGGATCACTAGGGCAGACTGTCGCACACGTGTGACGCAACCACCGCGCGCCCATGCAGTCGCCAAGGAGCGCGGAGCAGGGACAGCATGGCGGCCCCCGCCCAGCAGTCCTCTCAGCCGGTCGGCGGAAAGCGCAAAGGCAAGGCCCAGTTCTTCCCGGCCAAGCGGGCCCGGCGCTGTGACGCAGGCGGGCCGCGGCAGCTGGAGCCCGGCCTGCAGGGCATCCTCATCACCTGCAACATGAACGAGCGCAAGTGCGTGGAGGAGGCCTACAGCCTGCTTAACGAGTATGGCGACGACATGTACGGGCCCGAAAAGGTACCGGCCTCGGGGAGAGCGAGCCGCCTGCAGGCTTCTTCCGGGGAGCGGAGGCGGCAGTTGCTTCGAGGCGCCTGTACGGTGCTTGCATGACCTCGCCTACCTTCCTGCCCCCCGGTGTGGCCGCTATTGAGGTCACCTGCCTGGTGGGTGTGTACTTATGATGGGCTGGCTCTTTGGGCTTTTCTTGACATCACTAATGACGGTGGCTCCCACGTATTGATTGCCTCCCTTGGACCAGGTAGTGTGCTGAAGAAACTTTCAGAAGCGTACTTCTTGCGACCATGTTACGTTGGTACAAGCTAAAATCTCTCTGAGGTAGTGGAAGTTTGAGAGGGATGCTCTTTTCTAAGTGCACTTGAAAATACATATGAGAAAATAAAAGCTTGTGAACCCCAAATCTCATTCTGTGGCAGTTTGGAAGCCGTGATGTTATTCGCTTAGACTCCGAGCACACCTGCACACCCCGAAGTGTGGAGAAAGATAGTGCAGCGGGCCCCATTATTTGAGAGGAGGGGACAGAATATGAATCTGTAGAGGCTCCTTCAATGTGCACCGTTATTTTTATAACCTGATTGAAACGAAAACCCCTTGGTAGGACAGAGAACTGGACAACAAACACAGGTCCTGTCTATGTTGCCCTGTGTGAGTGCCTTTTTGTTGTTGTTGTTGTGTTCCTTTTGTTTTTGATGGAAGACTGCTGGATGCTGCAGGCTGGCCTCAGCTTCCCACATGTAGGGATTACACTGTGCCTGGCTGAAGCAAGTTCTTGACCTCCTTCTGTGCCCTGTTTCTTAGCAGAGTAGGAGTAATGGTTTTAGTTCTCGTGTGCATTTGGCTCTAATCTTACCAAAGAGAGAGTATCCTGCCAGCCACAGTGGTATGTAATGATGGTGTTAAAGTCCACATGCTTTATCTGATGAACACATTGCCTGCCTGGCTCTATCAAGATATTTCTGAAACCATTTTCAGACGACACATGCCACACTCAAGGAATTCATTTTGTAATCTGCATTTTGGAAGTGGTGTGATTTTAATTTCCCAATAAAAACATTGATAGTCACCACTGAGACCTCTGCCATTGGGGGTTTCACATAAATAGTTAATTACAGGGTTGGAACATGAGCTGTTGTGTCGTTTTTTTTTTTGCTTATTTGTTTTATGTAAACAGTTTATAGACAAGGACCAGCAGCCCTCTGGAAGTGAGGGAGAAGATGATGATGTGGAGGCTGCCTTGAAGAAAGAAGTTGGTGACATTAAGGCTTCTACAGAGATGAGGCTGAGAAGATTCCAGTCAATGGAGAGCGGAGCAAATAATGTAGTCTTCATCAGGACCCTTGGGATAGGTATGTCTAAATAACACCCCTGAGATTACTGATCCCACAGTATCTGGGCATCTGTGTCTTAGCAGATACTGCTTCATGGTATGGCTGTCAGTCACTCCATGGTAACATCCCCCCTATCCCATCAGCTGTAGATCAGTGCCCAGATGTTTCTGAAACCATTTTCAGATGACATATACCACACTCGGGGAGTTTGTTTCTTACTCCACATTTTGGAAGTGTGTTATTTTAGTCTCCTAATAATGTGGAGAGGTGGAAGGTGGTGAGGATAGCATTGGCTTAAGAGTGGGGACCTAGCTGTATACGTCCTTCCTTGGTATGTAGCGTAAGGTAGAATGAAAGTTTGCATTCTGTCTCCAAAGAGCTACCTAGTATAGGCTTAGTTTCCACTTAGGAATGGAGGGCTTGATCCAATTAGTTAAAGACCTGGAAATAGAGTTCCTTTGACTTTCAAATCTGATCACTAATTCAAAAACATTAACACTGATGTCAGGCAGATGTGTGTATAGTTGAGAAGTAGCCGTGATTCACTGTGTCATGGTGCTGTGCTACATGGTGCTGGGATTCTTTCCCAGCTGAGAGCTGGACTTCTGCACGAAGTAACTAGTAGATTGAGTAAATCTTCAAGTGATGTACAGATTTTGTGTTTGTAAAAGTGTGCTGTATGATTCTTGTTTCTCTAATTTGTATTACAAGAAAACAACAATGAAGTTTTGTGACTTATTTAAGTTAGGACATCCCCAAAGCATTGGTTCTGGAGACTATCAACGTTTATATTATAGCAAAAGCAGTAGAGATGATGAAAAGTTAAAATGCTAGCTGTGTGATAGACGCCAGAGAAATACTAGTTGTTACAAAACTTTGTTTTTTCCCGTGTCACTTCATCTTTTCTTTTTCTCTTAGAACCTGAGAAATTAGTGCATCACATTCTCCAGGATATGTACAAAACCAAGAAAAAGAAGACACGTGTTATTCTGCGAATGTTGCCCATCTCAGGCACCTGCAAAGCTTTCTTAGAAGATATGAAAAAATATGCAGAAACATTTCTGGAGCCCTGGTTTAAAGCCCCAAACAAAGGGACATTTCAGATTGTCTACAAATCTCGAAATAACAGCCATATGACTAGAGAAGAAGTTATTAAAGAGTTGGCAGGTGGGTTCTCCTAGTGACTTTATAGCTATGAGGCAGAGTCTCTGGTAGAAAGCCTTTGCAACTCAAAATCAGACAGCTGGGAAAGTAAAGTTGTCTGCCCTTACCCATGAGTGATTGGTCATTAGGGCCCCTAGGAATACCAAAACCTGTGAGTGTTCAGGTAAATCTTACATAAACTGGCTGTTTCGGTGTAGTATTTGCATATAACCTGCACATATTTTCTTGTATATTTTATATCGTTTTTGGATTACTTAGAATACTAAGTCTGATGGGACTTCTATGAAAATCGTTAAATTGTCTTGTTTAGGGATAATGACAACTAAAAACAGTCTGTTCATGTTAAGTACAGATGTTGTTTGCTTCCCTAAGTATTTTGATTCATACTTAATTATGTTTGTGCACACGAGTGCAGTGCCCACAGAGGCCAGAAGAGGCTGTCATAGCCTGTTGAGCTAGAGTTAACAGGTGATTGTCTAGCCTTCCAGCGGGCTGGAGTTAACAGGTGGTTGTCTGTCTGTCTAGCCTTCCAGCGGGCTGGAGTTAACAGGTGGTTGTCTGTCTGTCTAGCCTTCCAGCGGGCTGGAGTTAACAGGTGGTTGTCTGTCT